CCATGAGAATAGCCATGGCTATGTTAACAACTGTATTCTATGAAATATGAATTAAAAGGAGAAATATAAGGGTCTATAAGACCCTGGGGAGGGGAGAGACCCTGAGAGGGTCAGTCTCTGGAAAATTGAGATGGGAAGATTATTAACCTCAGATTTTTACCCCAGTCTCTCCATCAAGCCTCTAGAAATGACCCTGAGTTGAATATGAATTTTTATAAATAAAATCCAGCCCCCATTGTTTGGGGATTTTTTTTTGGGGGGGGGCGCTTTTGGTACCTTGTAAATTTTATTTACCATATATACTCGAATATAAGCCAACCTGAATATCAGCCAAGGCACCTAATTTTACCACAAAAACTGCATTAAAAATGTGCTGAAAAAAACCTGACTTATACATAAGTATATATGGTAATTTTTCTTTTTTAACAGTTTTATTTTCACGTGATCTATATATCATATAATTCAATAGTTCAATCATATTAAGAAAAATTACACAATCATTACCACAATTAATTTTGTAACTTTTCCATGGTTAAATCACTTTTATCTAATTTGATTAAATCATTTTAATGGGGGCTCTTATAGCTCTTATGTAGCAATCAGTTGCATAAAGCACATTTGTACATATGTTGCCATTATCATTTCCAAAATATTTTCTTTCTACTTGAGCTCCTCTTTTGTTCCCACCCTCATAACCCTTGATAATTTATAAATTACTTTTATTTTCATATTTTACACAGTCTGCTGTCTCCTTTCATCTATGTTTCTGTGGTTTGTCCCCCTGGGGAATGGAATTTGTACATCAATCAATATAATTACGATCGGTTCCTCCCTTCTCTCCCCACCCCCAGCACCCCCTTACCTTCATTGTATCACTACTCTCATTATTAGTCCTGAGGAGTTTATTGTCCTGGATTCTGTATGTTGAGAGCTCTTATCTGTACCTGGTGTACATGCTCTGGTCTAGTCAGATTTGTAAGATAGAACCTGGATCATGATAGTGGGAGGGAGGGTGCAGGGGCAGGGAGGGGAGGAAGCATTAAAGAACTAGAGGGATGTTGTGTTTAATTGGTGCTATACTGCACCCTGGCTGGCTCGTCCCTTCCTTGTGTCCCTTCTGTGAGGAAAT